TATATGTATACGACCGTGCTCGCGACTCGACGAGTGCTGTAGAAGTATACCGAATAGCAAGATTGTTGAATAATGGAGTAAAGCCGAGTTTGATGAAGTAGACATTGTTTAACAGCTTGGTATAACCTATAGGAAAACATGGACGTTCGATTGAAAATGCACTTGACATGCACGATACTGATGTCTCTTCTGGCAGCGTGTCACACTTGGGTATTGAATTGTATGACGTTAAGGCCCGGTCTACAATGAGTCGTTAGTCGTTAGTCAGAAGTCGCAACTATATGTTGATCCTTTTCCTTTCTGGGTGGAAGAAAAAGGACCGACATATAGTTCCGACTTCTGACTAACGACTAACAACTCATTGTAGACCGGGCGTAAAGCACATTTAAGGGAACTTCGACTCACACTTGCCCCCGCAGGTCCCGGACAGCTTTGCTAAGACCGAACATTCCAACAACTGGGCGGTCTTGGTCGACACGTCGCGCTTCTGGTTCAACTATCGACACGTGGCAAATGTCTTGTCCATCTACCGGAGTGTGAAACGCTTAGGAATACCAGATTCGCAAATCATTCTTATGATAGCCGACGATATGGCATGCAATCCTCGAAATCCTAGGCCAGCGACTGTCTTCAACAACATTAAGCAGCACATTAACGTTTACGGCGACGACGTCGAGGTCGACTACAGAGGCTACGAAGTAACGGTGGAAAATTTTGTCAGGCTACTGACCGGACGTTTAGCTCAGGAAACCCCACGGTCGAAGAAGCTGCTGACAGACGAGGGCTCAAACATTCTTATTTATTTGACTGGTCATGGTGGTAATGGCTTTTTAAAGTTCCAAGACTCCGAAGAGATCACTAGTCAAGAGTTGGGAGACGCGTTGGAGCAAATGTGGCAGAAACGGAGGTACCACGAAATTTTATTTGTGGTCGACACTTGCCAAGCGAGCTCGATGTACGAGAAGTTTTACTCGCCGAACATACTGGCGGTCGCTTCTAGTTTAGTGGGAGAAGATTCGCTTTCCGTAAGTAAAAGGTTCTCCCGTCGCATTTTCCACTTTAGATCCGTACTCACGTTCGTCGTCTTTCCAGCATCACGTCGATCCTGCGATCGGCGTTTACATTATAGACCGATACACTTATTACGCGTTAAACTTTTTGGAAAAAGTGGAACCATCTAGTACTAAAACACTGGGTGAATTTGTAAGTACCTTGACGTAATGCCAAGCTTTAGTCGTCGTTACTTTTTACTGAGCTTCATACATTTCCCTTCTCTTTTAGTTGAAAGTGTGCCCGAGAGATTATTGTCTATCTACAGTGGGTGTAAGAAGAGATTTGTTCAGAAGAGATCCAGATAAAGTGCCAGTGACAGATTTCTTTGGTTCGCTCAGGCCCGTAGAACTTACAACGAACATAATGAATATTTTACCTGTTAAATCCAATTGTACAAAAAGTGAGGAATCTGAAAACAGGTATAATTATGTGGCGCAATTTCCGCAAGTATCTCGGTATACTTGAGTAAAAGAAGTGTTTCTCCTAGCACGTTTCATGTGTATTTTGTTACACTACTTGTTCCCGAAGTGACTTATTTTGCGTTTCGCTAGCTTGGCTGGTGTTAATGTTCTCCTTCCTGTCGCTGCCTGCCGGCGTATTTCTTTCGTTTTCTAAGCAGGAGATGTGCAAACGAAAGATCTAAGGAAGCGCGTGGCGGAGTAAATAATAACGTCGACTGTTGTAAACTTCTCTTTTCAAACTAATTGTAAATCAAATTTTCCCTTCATTCACGCACTCACTTTGGAAAATCTAATTCGGTAAAAATTTATAGCGCGCTTCTCAATATTATGTACGAGTGAGAAGCAGACGGTGTGTCGTTTAAAGAAAACGCGACGAGTCCGAGTGGTGGTAAATAGAATAAAAAAAAAAGATATATATCTTTTTGCCTTGAACCAGTAAAGTTAGTTACATGACATTGGTTTAGCAGAAAACTCATACGTTGCAGAATTATATCAGTTAGCTGTTAGGCGCTATCTTAAGTTGACTCACTTCAGAAATGGAAAGCCCCCCCCCCCCTCCTATTTGTCTATCGGACATGACGTGAAAATAATTCTGTGTATCACACTGCGGATGACGTAATGCACCGCGTATCCCATCGACATGTATGTATATTTGTATATAAATAAGTTTTCCACGAGATAAAGCATCAGTTTGTCGAATCGTGCGATACTTTCTATATAATTCTATAAGAGCATATACGTAGATGCACTAGGTACACTTTGTCTAGTGCGCGCGTGCGTGTCTTTCTAAGATAGTCACCACCGTCGCAACGGTACAATTAAAGTAAATTTTTTAACTGTTTTGTTAAATTGCCAAGATTGCCAAGATGAAGTGAAAAGTAATTATTAAATGTTCTTGAAATGTGTTGCAGATGTCGCGCACCTTTTATTCGTGGCTTCTGACATCTCTCGTAGTACATGCATACGCGACACCGCAGAAATTCATAGAAGTGCACGACTTGAATTCTAAGGAATTGTCACCCGTGGACCAATTAGCTCCGATAAATCCTGCTCTACACACCTTTCCGACAATTCCCACGGTTCCTCTCTTGCCGAATTGTGCGAAGCAGGGCTACTTGAGAGATCCGTTCAACTGCGGCAAGTTTTATCGTTGCGAGCACAGTCGTGGCGTACCAGTGGCTTATTATTGCCAACCAGGAACAATATTCAATACGCTGACGGAATCGTGCGATCATCCGCAGTACGTGCAGTGTTGACCGCTCTTCAATGTGCGTATCTTGCTGAATTTCTCAAGCTTTTAGGTGTAGGTACATTTAAGAAACGTAGTAACAATGTCGCGTGCCGTTGTAGATGTGAGAAATTTATCAATTGAAAATCTAGCGCTTGAAATAGATGCCTAAATTTGAACGTAAAGATTTATTACGAAGGAGTTACCTAGTGACGTACACCACGTACATTACATATGTATGTTGCGTGATCCTACAGCTTCGCTGAGGAAGGGGATAGTTATTTAGACGGATGATGTGACGGAGTGACTCTTATAGGCTTTATTGTAAACACATACATGCAAACGTTACAACGTGAACAAGTTGTTACAAAGAGAAAGAATGTGACGTAAGATGTAAAGGCATATCTGTTTGAGGCTATAATCGAAACGGTATTAATTTACGGTATCGTTACTAGCATCCCTTAACGAGATTTTTGAAATTGCAACCGTTGAATTGAGGATCGAAGGCTAGTCCCTCTGGGCAATTGAATTTTTGTGCTTTGTAAGCGCCATCGATAACTTGGCACATATAGAATACGCTGCAATCTTGGGGATCGCGAACGTAACCGGCTTCTTTGCAGATACCAGTGGGAGGTGCAGTCAGCGGTGGTTGCGTCGTTTGCGGCGGTTGCGTCGTTTGCGGTGGTTGCTCGGTTGGCTTGGGTGGCTTGGGTGGCTCTACCGGGAGCTCTACTCCTCCCCTCAGTCCGGCGTTCAACGTTTTCAGCAGGGGATACTTTTCACCGCAGTTGCCGAAAAAGTCGTCAGTCTCGATACTCCACAACATTGCGCCACCAAGACCCAAGGAGTTGATGTAGGCAGTTTTTTCCTTAAGCGAGCTGCGCGCACGCAAAATGACACAATATATGTATACACGTTGTTACATTCTCGTGTAGAACAAGATCAGTGTAGAAGAATCTCTTTCAATTGTGAATCTTCCGATCAGATCGAAGAAGAATAGGTATTTGAGAGACGGATCGCTCAAAGGTCCAAAAGTGAAAGATTGCGATTTAGGAGCCTGGATGACTTACATGATGTCGTCGTAGCCGACCCATTGGTCGCCCTTGTAAGCGTATGGAGTGCGGTGCTCCTCGTGACGGACAACGTTCCAGCCGCCCTGCTTAAAGAACTCGCAAATCTCGTTGTATCCCAGCATTCCACCCTCGCGAGTGTACGGGCCGGCGGTAGCCGGTCCGGTGGTAGGCGCTCCAAGGCCGTTTTGATTCTTGTCGGCGAGAGTGAAGGCCCTGCCATAGAACGGCACCCCGAGGATTAGTTTCTCGGGCGGACAACCGTTGTCCAGCCAATAGCGTACGGACGCGTCCTGCGAGAAAGAGACAATAATGTGTAAGAATCGGGAGAATCGTTATGCTGACGGGACGAGAGCGACACTCACGACGTTGAGCTTAAGATCGTTGCCCGACTCGCCCGTGCGCTTGTAAAGCGGAGCGTTGAGACCGGTTGTCTTCTCCCAGGCACCGTGGAGATCGTACGCCATAACGTTGATAAAGTGCAGGTATTTGGACATTGCGGGAATATCGTAGGAGAGAGAGGCGGAAGTCTCGGCAGAGGCGACGGCGGCACTGAGAATCAGCCCATGCTTATCGAATTCGGTTCTGAGTTCCCTCAGCAGACTTATATAGTTTTGCACGTCCTCTGGTTTCCCGCCGCGCTGGTTCGGATACTCCCAATCGAGGTCGAAGCCATCGAACTTGTATTTCTGTACGAAGTCAACGACGTTCTTGACGAATCTAGCGCGAACAGTCGGATTGGCGACGACGGCGGAGTATTTGGCGGATCCCTCGTTCCATCCACCGATAGCGATGAGCGTTTTCGTCTCGGGGCTCTGTTCGCGAAGCTTGTTGAATCTGCCAAAGGCGTCCTTGCCCCAGTTGTCGGGCAGGTCCTGCCACGCGTCCAAAACCCTGACGTCGCCCTCCGTGCTGATGCCGACGAAGGTGTAGATCAGGTGGGTGCAAAGATTCGGCTGAATGTAAGAAATGTCGAATTTGCCACCGGGAGGTCGGTAGACGGCCCAGCTACCAAAGTAGCATACGATCTTTTCTGAAAGGGATGCAATTAGACTACGCCGATTTACCACGCAGAGAGGGAGCGCCTTATAGGAAATGCGTGGCGTATACACTTACTCCCCGTGTCGGCAGCCGAGGCCAAAGCAGCCAACGCCGCGAAAACGAGTATCCAACGGTTCATCTGCAAAGACGATCAGAGAAACGTACAACGTGTAAACGTTATAGTCGTACAAATATCCATTGCGACTCGTGCTCGCTCGCTACGAGACGAGTCCACCGTCGAGAGATATAAGAGATACATTGTCCTTACCTTGTAAGCAGGGTCAGTTCCTTCGATGGCAACGCAATACCAAAATTTCATTCGCTTACGCGATATATATATGTGTACACTGCACCAAGAGCGGTGCAATTTTTGTCTGTTTGATCATGATAATGCCGACAAATGTGAATTCATTCGTGCGCACACAAATTTATGTAATACATCCAATCGTTGCCGAGACGAAAGGACTTTCGAAAACACGCAGGTGCGCGCGCGACGTCGTTATCGCGTGTAATTTCGTTGGACACTTGATTCTATTGAATCAATCACACCTGTGCCACACTCGTCGTACACAGAGTGTGTTTAGTGGAGCCTGGTCCACTTGAAGGGACACTTGGCATATCCCAGACAGCACAGATCTCCTGAAGACGTTTTAAAGACATCCTCTGGACGTCCTTATGCCCTAAGAATGTTCCCAGGACATCCATAGGATATCGTGTGCTGTCTGGGATTCTCTGTGTTGCAAAGATATTACAGAGCAATTATATACTCTGTATCTCTACGATTTAATCTCACAATCGGTCCAGGTTGACTACAGCTCGCTCGTGTGCACGTGGCTTGTTCGATAAAAAGTCTTTTAAGCTATTAAAATTTTGCCGCGTTACGTCGTAAACGTGTCTGCCGCGTAAATATCTCGCGAAACATTAATTACCCGATATCGTTGTATAAATTTGCACGCGATCTCACGCACCAAGTAGTAATTCGATAAATTGTGCTCAATAAATGATGTACAATCGGCGAAAAACAATGATGAGGAAAAACAACACGAAATAGTATACTCGTATCGTGTCGTGCATGAAATCCCACGCGACAACGAGAAGCGATACACTTTCAGAAACTTATAATTACCATGCAGTCGGGCAGAGTCGGGTTTGAACGCCAGTGTCGATTGCAATGGACAACGAATCGACGACCAGCTCACACGCTCGTAGAGGAGAGGCCCTGATCGGCGCGGCCTTTATATCTGTACATATATCTATATCTACTTCGATAGCTAAAACAAATAAATTAAATCGCACAAATGGTGTGACAAACGTCACCAATATACAAGTGATATGGCCAAGTTCGATCGTTCTTCAGGCCAGTCCAAGATAATCTTGTTCCCTAATCCTTGCCGAGACGATGGCGATAAGCGAGATAAGTGTAAGTAAAGAAAACGGTTTGCGCGACCAAGACGCGGGTGGTCATTTTTTATTTTTCAGCAGCTCTTGTTATCGATTTACAATGAAGCGCACGTATCGTGAATGCAGGTGAATTAAAACTTTCTAGTCGCGCGCTCCTTGTTCTTTTTCCTTAGCCCGAGCAATCGCAGCCGCCTCCAGTACTGCTTCGTATTTGGGTCCATTTCCTCCAGAGGTGGCGGAGGGCCAGTTCTTATGTTCCACAGCCAACTAGGATACTCGGAGTCCGGCTTCAACTTGACGTCTTCTCCGCCCTCCTTGTAGATATTTGTGCCGCACACGTGAGTCAAGAGCCGGTTGACGTCAGTTTCAACGGGCAATACTTTCTTTTCCACCGCAACCAGTGTCTTTTTTACTTTCTTCGTTCCCGGGCGGACCGCTACGGGAAGAAAAAGGCCGCAAGTTCATAATGAAATAATTTCCCGCCACGTTCTTCATTATCGACAGTCGGTAATGTCGAGAAACCCTC